CACATGCACTAGATATCGACCCAGAAGAATTACCAGATGATGAGAATCTGAAAGCTCTTCGATTTTGAACTAAATTTCGCGGTTGAGTTCGAGTTAACGTAATGAAACACTCTATCAACTTTATTATTGATAACGAACTTCTTGTAGATTTTCACTTTTTCTTGGGAATATTTCATTCCGTTTATGCAAACAACCCCGATGTCATAAATATTTTTAAGCCTAGTTCTACATTTGTTCCAAGAAGCGACGTTCACTGCGGATGAGGTATCTATGCATTCTCTTCTATTTCTAAGAACTTTTAATAAACATTTTTAAGCCTAGTTCTACATTTTTTCCACGAAGCGACGCTTACCGAGAACTTCTATTTTTAACTCGAGCTCCTCGCTAACTGAAACTGTATTTTTGCGAGGTGGGTCGGCAAACCTCAAAATATCAGAACATATCATATATTGACGAAAACTTGGATTTCTATTTAGACAACATCAATTTAATCGGTATAATAAACGTAATATAAGGCTCCGCAAGTTGCGTCGATCATTACTGATCTAGCTGACATTAGGTATTAATGAATAATTAAGGTATATGATAAAGGTATAGGTTGTGATGAATAATAAAACGACTATGCAATTCCCGGTTTGATGTCATATCCGGCAACTTTGAGGCCTGATAATCCTGTGCAGATGGAATATTTTCTTATAAAGATATATTGCATTTCTTCGTAAAATATATCAATGATTACAAATAATAAATTACACAAATCATGACATATAGGCACTTTAAAAAAACGCTGCAAGGTCATGAAGTATAAACACAACTTATACTTGGTAGTTCTGTACTCTGTGCTCGCAATGGTTGACAAGAAGGAATTGCACATCGCATACAACCGACTCCAACATTCCTTATTCCGCCATTAGTGCAATGTTTCCCATGCTTTAGTAGTAGTAGAACTTTATTTATCCACGCTGACCCCGTCAACCGTAGCTGATTTCCACGGGGGGCGTGTGCCAGAAAATTATTTTACATGCAGAATATGATAAGGATAAGCTAAGCTATTACAGTAATATATAAATTTAAAAGATATAAAAAATGTTTTGAGCTATTTACAGGTAAGTTATATTTACAAAGGTTACCAAGCACTAATGTGAGCAGCGATTTTATTTCGAAAGGAAGAAAGTGACTTGCTTTCCTAATTTCTTTTGGTATAGAATTCCAAATGTTTGCTCCGTCGTACATAAAACTATTTTTCATGCTATTTGTACGTGGTTTTGGTAAATAAAGACCACTTGAGACATCCCGAAGGTGGTAATTAGTTTTCTCACACTTAAACGAAAATAGATTTGTGAGGGATTTTGGGCCCATTTTGTTTAATAACTTATACATCATTCTTGCTTTAGTTTTCTTCCTTTCAGTTTGGAGTGGCTCCCCGCCCAAAGTACGTAACGCAATCGTATAATCTACGTCATTGCTTATATTCAGAATAATTCTTGCCGCTCTATTTTGCAGTTTTTGCAGTCGTTTTGATTGAGTTTCGCCAAATACATCCCATACTTCACAGCAGTAGTCAAAGTACGGTCTGTACGGACGAACAATAGTGTTATATATCAAAATAAGTATATCTTGATCAACAAATGGTTTGATCCGACGAATAGCATGCAGAGATTCCTGCTGTAACTTTTTTGCAAATATTTTCGGTATTACTTTTCCAAGATAAATGCTGGTCAATTGTTACTCCTAGAGTTTTCCTAGAGTTTTGCGAACTTTATACATATGGCTACCTAACAAGTACCTCTTCAAGTGATATCCAGTACCACGACTTCTATATTATCTACATACATACATATTATAAACTATAGCACATAAGCGCATTGGAACCCGTCTGTTCGTTAAGGTGATATTAGTTCCAATGGCCTCGTTTCCATGTTAACTTATTTTAGCATGTCAGGGGCAGATAAAGATTATATTCCCATGTTTTCCTGGACGAATTTGTTTCTTGCTGTTCTTAGGCTCAATAACAAATTTTCAACCCTACTAAGCACAAAACACGGGTAAGTACTTGACACGAAAACGGAGCCATTGGGTGAAAAGTGAATAAATGGTAAGGTGTATTGCGGGGTTTGGTGGATAATCCATGTAAGCCTAACCAGGAACTATAAGCCCTTTGTCAGGAATCAAACCTGTGATTCCTGTGCAGTGCTCTAACCAACTGAGCTACAGAGTTGTCGAGCTCTAACCACAAGTTCATGCATATATATTATATACACGAACTTGCGGTTATGATATTGGTGCCAAACGTGTCAATGACGAAAACGAGGCTCGGTAGCCAAAGTGACCAACGTTGCAGAAGGGTGTATTGCTTCTCCGCCATACTCTGATGTCATCATTTTAGACGAATTTGATTGGTTCAAGTGGTTAGTCACGTGAGTAAAGCTTTGCAGTAATAGGAGGCTGCTCCACTTACTGTTCGGAGTACTCCGGATTTTCGGTACACTAATTGAATCGAACCGAAAACGGTCACATGACTGTAACAGTCATGTGATCGTCAGAACAGTCATGTGACCATTATTGGTTCGATTTAATTAGTGTTCCGAAAATCCGGAGTACTCCGAACAGTAAATGGAGCAGCCTCTAGGAAAGTTAAATTCCCCGTAAAATAATTTCAGACGAAGACGAAGGTCGGTAGAAGTCGAAACAAGAAGCTCTCACAGATACGGCACGTTCGCAATGGGATTAAACTCTAGCATCGAAAAATGCGATCATGAAAGTGGTTCTCAGTGTTCAACATTGAACATTGACCGACAACTTGACGCAATGCGAAATGAAGTCAGGCAACAGGAACGTTTAATAACTGAGAAGATCAAACAAGCGATGACGGTAAAGGAAGACACATTGGTTATGAGATATAGCGACCTCAAAGATGTGACAGAAATATCTGCAGCTATTCAGGAGATCTTTAGGGACGAGCCAGTAGCTGTGCAGTTTCTAAAGGAAGCCGCAATTACGATGATTGCCGAGTTTCGCAACAATTCCACGACGAAGGAATTATCGCGCTGTCACCAAGTGAAGAAGGTATGTTTATACATATATGTATAGTAAATGTGTAAGGACCATTTTCTTTCCATTTCTCATCGTACTCCAAAGCAACGGGAAATTCAAAGCGGACTAATTTCTGGATTTAAATTTAAGTCGATTTAAAGAAAATATGTTTTTCTCCAATACTAAGAAATTCAGCCTATAGTCAGCAGACCGATG